CAACATATGCTTCAAGGAGCACTCATGCACTACCAGCACTTTAGAGAGCTTTGACAGTCCTCCTTGGCTTATGGTTTTAAACATGAGCCCTGCAGTCACCAAAGCATCTTATTTTTATGCTGGAGCATAGCAGCCTACAGATAATAAGCAGCAATTACACTTAAGGTTTTAAAATTGCAAAGGCTTCTTTTTCATTATACAAGTGAAGAAAAAACTGAAGCAGCCTGGGACCTTTCACGGAACAAGACAGCAAGCCTTAACTCTTCCTCTTAACATCTTCCTGCTCCTTACAGACATTACTGTGCAACGCCGGGAAGAAAAATGACATGAGTACTGCACAAAACTGGCCTTAAAAATGTAACCTGTCATCAGCCAGGAAAGACTTGTGGCTATGGGACTGACTCCATTTTACTTTTTTTCTGTTTTTTTCTTTCTTCACAGTAAGAGAATAATGTTTATTTCGATGGTTTTCCTTATTGAAAATGACAAGCTTTTCTACAGTCCCATGCTCAGGCAGCCACTAACTTAAAAGGCAACTTGAAAAAAGAATTCTTTTCAACTCTTCTGTGCTGTTAATTCATTTCCAATTCAGTTTTTCTTTATTTTTTTAAATCTTACTGATACCCAGCTTTCATAAGGGCACAACCCAGGTCTCACCTCCTCAGACAGAAGAAAGGAGAAGCATGAAGCAAACATGCCAAGCATAATAGGACAACCAAAGGACGTCTGTTTGTCCTTCCACCAGAAGGACTTTTTATTTTGCTCCCTAACCAAAAAGCAACGGGAACGCTGGGCCAGGAACTAGGGGCTTGAGCTAACTGGCACACTCAAGGTTAATGCAAGCAGGATCCACAAGACTGAGGTTTAACCCATTTTTCACTCTCTGGAGATAATTCTCAAAGTCTAAGCTTAGACACCAAGGGAAACTCTGGGAGACTAGATGGCTTTTGATTGTCAGTGGAGAACGACAAGTGCTTCTCCAGAGCTTTTTCTATGCCTCTCTCCATTAATTACTAGAGTAAGAGAACACAGTAATTTAAAAATATTCTATGACTAGCAATTACTAAAACAGTAATTACTACACTTGGATATCAGAAGTTACATGCAGGGAGGGAGTTTCTCATTAGAAAACTGAGGACAGGACCTTTTTCTTTCTCCCTCCTTCCTCCAAATTCCCCTTTATTTCGTTGTCTAGTCTACAAATAATTTGACGAGACTGTCTTGCAACATGTGCATCCCACTTTCCAACAAGATTCTTATCTCAGCAATGATAACAACACAGTTCTTAATATCCTCAGTGTTGATTCACCTAAACAGGCTCTTAAGAAAAAAAAAATTTAAAAAAAAATCAATGCTTGCTGGCCTGCATGATGCATGCAATAGAAGAAGCAATAGCTCCTTCCAAAAACCCACAAGCACACATGGCACTTGCTCTGGGTTAACACTGTGCATCTTTGATTCTGGTGACAATGGTCTGACTGGGGTTTAAACAACCTGGCAGCCTTGCAGAGTGCGGTCCCTCCAGAGGAGGGGTGAGGATCATCTGCTCGCAATGCAGTTGGCTTCCAGTTCACAGAGACAAGCTTGATTTTCCAACTGTTAGTCCCTCATTCCTCATAATTGTATTTACCTTTGCTGGAAATAAAATAAATAGCGAAAGCAACAATCTGATCCAGTTCCATAAAGCCAAAATCAGAGTAATCCTGGACACGTTGCTATTTATCAACAGCTTCAAGAAATACCCTGGTTAATTTGGTAGGAACTCCCATTGTGAAAATGTTTTTGGATGCCCCCGAAAGCAGCTCCTTGGCTGGCAAGTCAAGTAGTGCTTCCCTTGCCCTCCAAATTAGCTGGATACCCAAAGGAAATTACTAATCTTTCAGTTCAAAACCAAAACACACACAAGTATAATGAGCACTGTTTTCCTTTGTGGAAGAACAGATAATCAATGGCTTGAAGAGTGGAGAATATACATTTCTGTTAACACTAACTCTGCCGTACTCTGTTTGGATGAAGCTCTTCTGTGTCCTCACCTCTACTGTTCCTATCACAACACTTTCACCAAAAAGCTGAGGTATTTCATTTATTATGTTTTTAACCTGGCTTGAAACCTCTGCAAGAAAGTAAATACAAAAATACATAAAACCAACCAAGGAGTAATTTGTCTTATCTGCTACCACAATATCATTTGCCACTGCAGAATCTGAGTATCTCCTATGTAAAATCAAAGTCAGTGGTGAAATTGCCTAGTTAAAATGACTTGTAAAGTTTCTTGCATTTCCTTTTGGTTTAAAATTTCTGATAGGAAGGAACGTAACTTGATTTTTTTCTCGTTTTCTTTCAATTACCCATTTTCTTTTACTTCTGGCTTTTACTGATGACTTGTTTCTTTTCTATATTAGGGATTTTGTTGGGGGAAGTGCTGCAGAAACTCCCAAGACCCCTTGAAGAGCATCTGAACATCTCTAAGGCAGAACTCCAAATGTCAAAACATCTCTGTGACCTGAATTTCTTTGGAAGAAAATCTTAAAGCAATTTCTGCAATAAAGCCAAAAGCTTAGGGCAACAGAAACAGAGGAAGCATGAGGGCTGTCATTTCCTCTAAGAGCAGCAAGATAATAATTCCTATAAACACCTAGCAGAGATACAGACCGTTCCAGTGGGCCATATGTGACACTCTTATTATTATTTTTGTGCCTGAAAGACTAGATCAGTCAACGCAATATGAAGGAATTAGCTCCTGGCACTCTCTTGTGTGGTATATGTGTATTTGAAATACAAACTCTAGTGTTTTTACTACGCATTTTCACTCACAAATTTCACTGCTGCACTTTACATCAGAGAAGTGCCAAAAGAATTATTAGCTTTAAAAAACCAAAAGCATGACATCATGAAATCCCAACAAGTTTCAGTTACAGGCAAATGACAGTCCCTAATCCTCTGTAATAACGACAGCTATTCTGAAAGATCTGCCAGTGCTGACACCCAGAACGGCTGGGTTACAGTTATAGAGGTATAATTACAGAAACACCTGCACTGTCTGAAAGGATGCTATCGCCTTTACTGTGGTCTACATTTTGGGAAGTTTAGAATAAGCAAAAGCTTGAAGAATTTAATGACTACGCTTACAAAAATGCTAACCCATTTTCTAAAGTTCATTTCAATCTGCTGCTTTTAGGGCTTTTTTGTTTGTTTGTTTAAGCATATTTGGAAAATATTAAAAGTTCCATTACTTTAGTTTCCTTTTCAGTCAATAAAAACTCAGTAGGAGACAGGCAGGAGGAAAGAGAGCAGGATGCTTTTCCTGTTACAATAGTAAGACTTGAGGACGTGGGTTCAGTGCCTGGCTCTGATAAAAATTTCCTGTGGGACCTCAGGCAAACCATTTGGTGTTTCAATTATTTATCTGTAAAGCAAGGATAACTACTATCCCAGATAGGATTTGCTTGAATAACACTTATTCACATGTCAGAGGTGCTCAGAAAGTCATGCATTAGACTCCTACTGACCACATACCCAAAATCAGTGCTCAAAATGACCCAGCGTATACCAGTGTATGATACAGACATCTCTCATAAAACCATACTTGCCTACTACCACTCTTCAGCTACAACGCAAATACGTCTCCCAACATCAGTCTGAAATCACAACAAACTGCAAAGCAGAAGACGCCAAATAGTGCAGAGGGAAGTGCAACTTGTTGGGGGAAAGGGATGCAAACCCTGCAAGTATTTATTAGCACAGTGCCCAAAACTATACCACCCAGCTGGATGCCCTTTAGGTACACCATCAGAGGTACAATGAAAAACAAGTGCAAGACTTAAGGTTTCTGCCTTGTTTTTCTAACAGCTTTTCAAAACCATATAGTCCATCCCATCCTTGTCAGTGTACCTCAGAGCCTTGTGTAGAAACAACGACAAACTATGCCTGGAAATTATCCCTTGTCCACTTGATGGGTAGTGCACACCTAAGCTAATCCAAGCATGCAAAACGGGTGTCTTGTCTAAGACAATTTGCCCAGACTTCTGGAAGAGTCAACACAGCAAAACAAGCAACGCATAGAAGGAATTCATCACACCCTAAGTTAGATGGGCCGAGTTTCCTGTTCTTCTCTCTTGGCTATATAGGCATATATAGGATGACTGACCTTTGAGGAGACACCAACATTTGGGCAGACAAAATCTGTTAAGGAGACTCCTTAACTGAAAAGTAGCTAACAACAAAGAAAGTATAATACTTATTTTCAAGCAGCCCAAAGAGCTGGTTCCGTCTCACAAAGACAGATAAATTTATCACTGAAATTCAGAGTTACCTCAGCAGTGAGGCCTTTCTCTCATGGCTGCCACAGGATAAATGATGGTATTTTAGTGGTTTAACAAAAGCTTTGAAAGTAATAAATGAATAACAGAAACGAAATCTAAGAATGCGTCTCCTTTACCACAATTTAGATTTTCTTTGTAGCTGACACAAAATGATCTTTTGAAAAGCATTATGTTGAAAGAATAAATTTCTCTGTTACTTAAACTTGTTAAAAGAACACTCAAAAAGAGCAAATTATAAGACAGACTACAGAAAAACAGATATTGATCATGTAAGCATCTGTGCAGATAACCACAGAAAAAATCAGGGAATGTGAGTCAGTTTGGTAACACATCCTGCTGATACTACACACACCATTCAGTCAGGGAGGACTCTGATGAAGACTCAGTTCTCTTTGGAGGTGTGACTCCACATTTCCTTCAGGATTAACCTGACCTAGTTTCACACTGCACTGTAGGAAACCAGGAAAACACAAAAGGCTGTTTGCCCCGGGGCTAAGGACAGCAGTCAACAGCTGCAGGGGCTCAGCTACTTATGATGATCTGGCCACAGATACAAAGAACCTTTTATTGTCTAAAAAAGCAATTGATGCATCTAGTTCTGCTGGACTTTTTTTTGTTTCAGTCGCTGATAGTTCTCAGTGCCTCTCTGGGCTCAGTGCTCATCAATAACGTACTCACCATCATCTGCTGAACGTGAAATATTTCAGCCCCAGTGGCAGAGAGGCGGTTTGGAAATGAAATGTCAAAAAAAGCACCAGGGAGAGTGCTTGGTCCAGCATTGTAAACCTATAAGACAAAGATGCATATAAACGTATAAAAAATAAATAAAAATGAAATTACATATATGACTGCTCATATATGGGAAACTACTGCAGAACCAGAGCTGGGAGTATAAACAGATTTGAAAAAATGCAAATACTATGCAAGTTTTTCAATGTCTTCAGACTAAGACTTCTTTTGTAAGTATCACGATGAAGTGAAAGGTTTAGCTTATCTAACAGTCCTTAGGCACAGCTCATGTATCAAGTGAGAAGCAGTTCTGCAGGATAATTACCAGTCATCAATACAAACAGTATGAGATTTCTATCTTATATACAGACATACTGCTAGTACTCTTGAGTGTTTTGGTAACACCATCCAGAAGACCAAGAAATATTGCTGTCTCCATTATCATTCTCATTTCTATCTGATAAACACTGCATTATACTCTGCACATGTTTTGCCTTATGGAGCAGAAGCCAAAGTAATGATGATTGTGACTACTGGACTGTGGGTTTGCTGAATGAGTTGCCAGGAAATGCACGTGAACAACTTCTATTCAAGTTCTGGGGTTTCCAGTTAAATTAAACTCTTAGTGGAAAACATTGGCTTATTATCAAAGCTCCCACAAATTTTAAACAAAAAACTTAAAAGAATTTCCAGTCTACCACCGAAACATATCCAATAAAAATGCCAAGATTCCTGGGTTTTTGCTGAAAAGACACAATCCATGGAAAAATGTCAATGAAAATAAGTTTTCATGTCTATCTACATTTTTTTATTAGGAAAAATATTTCCTGCTTGTTTCTAACAACACATGTATAAATGCATACAGTAAAAACATTAAGTCCATTGCAATATTTATCCACACTGAGATAGTACTGTCAAAAGATGTAGCAATCAGTTGTTAATTGTGTAAAGTACAAACATTAAAACCAACAGGTTTTCATTCTTCAAACACTGCTTATATTTGAAGAAATGCCTGACTGATAAAGAGAATCAGTTCACAATGCCAAATCCTTACAAAAACCCTGAGGCTCCAGGCAGGTGGAGAAATCCCACTAAAATTGAGCATGATAAATGCTACATTAAATACAAACATAATGTTTCATGTTAGACATTTAAAACAACTCGATTATCTCACTGAGATCAGATATGAGTTAATGCAGAAAAGAAATTTTCATGGCATATCTTGTTACCCCCCTCCCCCCCCCCCAAAAAATGATGCATAGATCTGTTACCTTATTAGCATTAGGCATGGTATAGATTTTCACATATAAAACCGCTATGAAGCCCCATATTTTTGTAAATCATCTCTTCTTCTTGGTTAAGAAACTATTACTTTTGTCCATCTGGAGAAGTTTAATAAATGGCAGGCAAATCACTAGCAACAATTAAGCGAATAGCGATACAAATGCTGCTGTGCCCATTATGAAACTCAACCCTTTCTCTCTGACACACACAGTTATGAGGTTAACCATGTTACCAGAGAGCAGATCTGTTACTTGCTACTGTATAATTTTCTAGTCCTATATGGAAAAAAATTATTAATATTGCAACTTGTGTGTGCATGAGAGACCAAAGGATGAGGCAGGACAAATGGCGGCTCTGCTAATACAAAGATTCTGTCTCTCTTACTTGCTAACATTTTGGTTTTTTTGAAAGTATTAATCTAGCTAAAGCATCAATACATCTGTTCTTTATCTGCTTTTAACCAATAACTGGCTATGGGGGTGAAAGGAGGAGGGAAGACCTATAAACACTCAAGAATGACTTCAGAATCACAAGAAATTAATAGCCTGGTTCACGAAAGCTTTAATGTCTTGAAACCTTGTTTTCACTCCTTTTCAGTAAATAGCTAAGGGCACTGCATGACAGTGGGGGCTTAATTGCTCTGGCCCACAGTCTGTCCACGGAGGCAGACATGTGTTATTCATTATGAACTGAGTGGCATTCATGCCTAGGAGAACAGAAAGGGGAAAAAGGTGAAAGACTGTTTTTCACAATAAATTATTCCCCCACCTCTGCACAATTTATCATTCCCTAGTTCCATCTAGTGGTCAAAAAAGATTTGAAGTGCTTGTAACAGATAAAGTCACGGCAGCCAGACAAGTTCATTTTGGCTGCATCACAGGAGTTTATTACCATAAATCATCCATATGTTTTGCCACATCAGGAACCCATCTAAATGCCATGTGAAGTGTAATCTATAGATAATACTTGAATATCACTGAGATGCTATGAGACATTTAATGAAACCTTCTCACACCTGTCTTTTTACTGTCACAGTCTCTTCCCTGTTCTGTACTCTTATCAGCAGTGCTATAAACATTTTCATATGGAGGGCATTTAACCAGTCTGAATCCCTTGTTCTCATGGATGAAGGCTGCCCACTCCTCTGCTCAAAGACCGTGCCACTACGAAGAATTACTCCCCCCTTTTGAACCTGTGACTGCACCCAAAATGTGGCACTTGAATAACTAGAGCTCTTTACTCAGCACACGTGATGAAAGGTAAAAGAGAAACAAATGGTAGCAGCTTAATTCCTATGGAAGTGAGATGCCCTATTGGCAATTCTTGTTATAATATATTCAGAGAAGGAAATATACCATCCCTGCATGCTGCAAATATGGCATCCAATCAAGACTGCATTGCACAGCATACTGTGGTTCAGAAACATGCACCAAAGCCCAGACTACACTCAGAATAAAAGAGATACAAAACCCGAATGTGCTGTCAAGCAGGAAAGCAGTCAAAATACGAATCAGTTTTACCTGCAGTGTGAAGTTGAGAGACTGGAAAAGGCATTCGTGGTTTTCCAACTGAACAAAGTTGGATGCTTCCACAGAATCACCGTAGAAAAATGAAGTAGGGAAGACTTCTCTGAAAGATCAAGACACAGATTTAGTAAGCTGCATTTGTCACCAAAATTAAATATATGTGTGGCAAGCTGAATTGTACCCCTTGCTTTCCAGTCATGTGAAATTCTACGGGACCATTTTACATTAATCTATTACTTGTAAATTGACTTCCTCTTGACAACACTAGACTACACAAGCAGCATCTCCACTGACCCAGGTTAACATCCCATCACAGAAACAGACTTCTTTTGATTACTTATCTCTTTTTCTCCTCTCCTATCACAAAGCCTCTCGTCCAGGGCCCCCCGCCATGGATGATTTGCCAAGTCCTATAGTTTGTGTAACAGAAGAAATCATTGCACTACCTAGTTAATCTGAAGAAACAGTTACTAATAGGAATACTTTCAGTTACAAATTCACTAAAGTAACATTTCAATTTTACCTACCATTTCAATAGCATTGCAGGAATAAACACTTCATTAATTATCTGAGCTTCACTACCTTTATGATTAGCAGATGGTTAAAGCAAAGAGTGGAGCGGGATATAAGTTGCTTTCAACTACAGTAGCACAGGCCAAGTCTCTTCAACTACTTCACACAAAGTAAAATGCAAGAGGGGTTTATCAGAAAAGACTTGGAAGCACAGCACAGTACCTGGAAATCCTGCCGAAGAGGAATAGGAGTGCTTTAAGCATCCTTTGTGCCTCCTTCTAACCTTAGGCTGCTCCACTGGCTGGAAAGGGTTCTGGTGTAATTTCAGACAAACCTTGTTGAGGGACTGCCTTAAACTCTGCTTCCTTCCCAGCCTATCCTTTTGGATCAAAGTTTTTCAAGACAGGATTTTAAGCCTGTTGAGGTACATTTCCTTTTTTCCTGCCTACCTCCTATGCCAGGGATTGCCAGGGGAAACAGTGAGAGAGAGATTTAGTCCTCCCATTTATGGCGCTGTGCCAGAAGGCTCCTTCCAAACATGGTGCAAGCCCTTTTGGGCTATTTATGCCCAGGGATGAAGTTTGCTCTCACAGACTCAAATGCAGGATAGATAATAAAAAATAAGCTTTAAAAATACACTGTCCAAAAAAGAGTATTACTCATATTAACATGTCTGGGAATGTTGTGCCTTCTAGTCAACCCAACTTTTCCCTGGTAGTTGGACATTTCTGTGGACTTGAATTAACTAAGCCTTGTCTACGAGAAAGAAAAAATAATCCACACAGCCAGTTGGGTGGGGCTTATAAATTCAGAGAACTTGTACTTTAAAAATGTACATTCTGAAGAGAACGAAAAGAGCCCAATTTTTATCACTTTTTTTTGGCATGCAGTGTTCTGTAGGTGATAAAATCTAGAGACACAGATGAAAGCATTCATATCTGTAACGCTGTACAAAAATCTATCTGCATCAAAGCATCAAGAAGTAAGGGATACAGAGTTAAATTTCTACACAATCTGCAACAATGAAAGCATTCAAAATTTTCCAGAGCATGCTGCTGAGACTGTACTTGAGATTTTTGTCCTTGCTAGTCATCTTGTGAGGTCTGACAGCACTCTTCACTTCCCTAAGCAGGCTCAAGCACATCTTCAACCCATTCTGACTATTGCGGCAGTAATTATGGTATTTTATTTCTGTGAAACAAGAGGGGAAATCAGCTTTATGTGCTAAAACCCAGACGAGGCCATGAATCTGACCTTACACAGCTTTTCAGACAAATCGCATGGCAGTGCAGGTAGCTTTCTTCCTACACATGTAGCATGCTGGTCAAGGGAATCTTTGACTTCCACAGATACCAATCTGCACTAGTCATTTAGACAATACCTGTTCCCTGGGGGTTGCCATAAATGGTAGTTAAAACAGACACTGACCTCTTGGGGACACTGCTGATGAGTTTTTGCTTCCCTGTTTTAGGAATGAATGTCAGCTTTCTCAGTCTACATGGATGCTAATTCACCTCCAGTGACCAGGTCCCCCAATTTCAACTCAAGCATTGTCTGTGTCAGAGGACAGTCTGTCTTTTGGGACTGACTGCAAACCTTTCATTCTAGATTATAATGCAGAAGTGGAAGGGAAGACCCTTGAGTACAAAGGCAGGAACTCGCACATGGGCAGCCCCCGGGGAGAGGACAAGGGCTATGTGTTATACAAGTATTTCAGTCAAAGGGTGAGTGATGTTCCTTGGTTGGTATTCAGACGCCTCACAGACTAGGGAGCAGAGGCAGTGGGAAAATGAACAGAAGCAGAAGTGAATTCTGATTGTGAAATTAAACAGAGAGGCAAACAGACTCCACCAAGCTCCTTAAAATCCCAGAACATTTGACCCTAACCTTTGGCCTGGTGATTCTCAACCATATCCTTAAAGGCATGCCCTAAGGAACAAGATGTGATTTACTTGTTCTGTTTTTATTTTAAGGTACATTGTATCTACAGAATCATATTAATTCTAATATGATCACTGAAATAGCTACTAAAAATGGGATGGTAACTAATTAGCATTAGCTAGAAAGGAGTGAGAAAGAGGTACAATGTTGGAAGGAAAATCATGACAAATAACAATTCCCAGATAATGAATGCAGTTGTCTGTATTTCCAGAGTCTGGGAAACAGGGGAAAAAGCAACAGTCTGGCTACATGTAAACAAAGAGAAGAATTCAGTTTTTCACTGGAAGAGACTCAGATGTTATTGTTAGGATCATTATTATTTTTGTTGTTTTCATTTGGTGACCAGTACTTACCCACTGATAGATGAGTCCACTTCATGCATCAAGGGCACCGACAGGGTTAGAGTATTATCATGCAGAGATTCAGTACGTTCTAGGTTTCCACTGTGCCAGAAAGGAAAAATAAACAAGCTGTAAATCAACAGCCCTTGCAATATATCACACGGTTTCATAGCTACCGCCTCTCCGTCGTGTACTCCAAACCTCTCTATTTGAGTGATGTCAGCTCTCCTTAAGAAGCCTCTTAAAGATTAAGAGTTACATTTATTCATCCCACCTTGGAGAAGGCACACACATAAAGCACGTGTTCTGTGGCTGTTCCTCTGTGGCTGCGACATGATTAGGCTCATATAAAAAAAAAAAAAAACCTATCTTGGAGCAAGGTGTGAATTCAAACAGCAATGCAAAACTACAGCAGCCATCACCCACAGTGGAGAGAAATAAGGACATTTAGACTCCAGCACAAGGGTTCATTTTCTCCCAGCCCTGACTGTATGCCACTTTGTGAGGGATACACACACCCCACAGAGAGTCTTGTCTCAGTAAATGAAACTGTGCTTTCATTGTACCTGCGCTGTACCACAGCACTAATTTGGTGCCACTACAAGCAGCTTTTTGGGTGAGACCCTCGTACTGAACCAGTCATAACCTCTCAGTGGTTCCAGCCCCTCTACCTGTACTTAGTTGCCAAAATGAAAGCACTTCTACTTGACATTTTCAAAGGCTGTGGCCTCAAGTGGTCAAAAGCAGAAGGAGGAAAGAGAAAAGTGAGCAACCATCTCTCCTTTGAGTCAGTTTATTTCAGTGTCAACACTTATGTATGAAGTCTGGGAAAGGTTCCCGAAATGCATGTCTAACACACAGGTTATTCTAATTCTGATGGTGAATCTGCTTGGGGGGATGACAGCTCAGAAGAACAATCTTGAAACACAGGTTACATATAATTCCAATTTCTTCACTTTTGCCTTTGTTAATCAGATTTACTCACAAATCAAACTGGCAAAACAAAATATATGATCCCATTTATTTGAGGTCAGTATCACTGAGGCAACAGCAGGCAGTAACATCCCAAGTGATACCATGCAGACGATGAGTTGCTCAGATTACAAAAACAGAGCCTGCTGGCTACATACAAGCATAGATATAGCTCAGCTTTCTACAACTGACACATTGGCCATGTCTGCTAATAAAACCATGGCCCAGATGGAAAAACCCACAAACTTTCAGTCCCAGGAAAAAAACATTTAATAAAAGCTTTTCCTCTGAATAGGCTCAAAGAAGAGTCCAAAATGGAGACATTTCTCATCCAACACAAATATGGAGATACCATGGTGGCAAGCAGAATAGGCAAGTAGAATTCCATATAGGGTTCATGAGTATGTGCTTATCTGTTTCAAATGGAGCAAAGGTACCGTCAGAAAAGAAGAATATAGCTCAACAAATCTAGCTCTAGAAAAATAGTTCATGCCAGGAAGCACAGAAGAGGGGTTGAGGTGGGGTTTTTTTTAAACAAAAAGAGTAAACATAACATAATGTTTAGTCCTTTCTCCAGTTGATCTATCCTACCACTGAAACAGTCTCTAGTTACAGATCATAGAATCATAGAACGGTTTGGGTTGGAAAAGACCTTAAAGATCAGCGAGTTCCAATCCCCTGCCATGGGCAGGGACACCTCCCACTAGCCCAGGTTGCTCAAAGCCTCATCCAGCCTGGCCTTGAACCCCTCCAGGGATGGGGCATCCACAGTTTCCAGTGCCTCACCACCCTCACAGTGAAAAATTTCTGCTGCCAAATTTGCAGCTTCAAAGGACAGGCTTAAGTGACCACTTGAAGGGCAATACTTACTTGCCCATGGCAGCGTGGCATATCTTCTCTGTGTTCAGCCATTTCTGCCAGACTAGCTCCAGTTTTGTGTGGAAACAATGTGCCCACTCATTCCAGTCTAGCCACAGCACAGACACTTCCCCTCCATGTCCTTATCACTGACTTTACCCCAGGGCTCTCTGCAATTCTTGCAGTAGAAAGATTTTATTACACTTATTTGACAGTGAGGGAAATGAGCAACTTGTCTAAAGTCACTGCAAAAATTTGGGTAATCAGGACTGGAACCTGCACTGTTGTCTTTGGAGGTTCAGCTGAATCCTTCAGAACACTACTGTCCTCTCACCCATCCCTCTGAAATGAGAAACTCTCTCTTAACCCCTCCGAGCACTTGCACTGTGTGTACAAACTGCTATTTATTTCTTTGCTCCATCTATAGGCACTGACTAACCCCTCTCACTGGTACCACACAGAAATCTGAGGAGTTAGGTTACAGAGGAAAGCCCTGTGCCATCCAAGGCAGGGAAATAAGAGGTGCAATCTGGAAAACCCTGGCTGGGCAAATTTAAAGCAGTGCTGACCCATCTTTGCACCAGCTGGCATTCACCTAGCAGACACTGATGCATCTCCCTGACCTAGAAGCTCACAGGGTCATCTGAACACATGATTAATTTCTCCTCATGGAGAATAAAACTTCTCTAACATGCAAGACTTCTCTAACATGCCCCTCCAACACGAGGTCTCACTTTCAGTGTTATTTACCAGCCCCACGTGCTGCAGGATCTTGTTCCCACCTACAGCTGTCACTGCAGGGGAGGACTACGCCTTCTGGGAGCAGTCACTCAGCAACTGCTAGGTCTCATCTCTCATCTCCAGCTGGTCGGTGGGATGTCATCAAATTGGGGAGGAGAATTCAGGCTGGAGATCCTGATTTTGACACAGGAGGATACAAAGTTGGCCCATTCACGCAGTAAGTGGAAGCAGGAACCAGTCACATCCCCAGCACGTCAGGGCAGCAGTTCACGGCCCAGGTTAATGCAGCTGTGCTACCATCAGTCCCCATACACACCCCAACAGTGCCTGGGACTGAATCACCCATGAAGCCTGCTTCTTTGTGGCACATCACCTCAGGCGGCACAGAGCATGCGTCACACCTTTTATTCTGCCCGAGATAAAATCCCTCTGCGCGCATACTTGGCATTGCCCTGCTTCAGTGCCTGCTCCAAGTGCCCTTGGGGAAGTACCCTATTCAGCTGTTTCACGCAGTCTGTCAGAGCTTGCTGAAGATCCAGAGGGGGGAAAAAATAGACATGTAACTTTGGAAACTGTCAGTGAGATCCCTGACCATCTGATGAAAGCATTTGTCTTCTTTGGTTTGCATCCAAGCACGCTGATTTCATTCAAATACTGGAACAAATGGGTCTGCCTGGTGCTGATCATCAACCACAGCTGAGCTGAGCTTGATACAGGGCCCAAAGGGATGGGCACAGAAAAACAAAGGCCTTCCGACTGAGAGAACACAAAATGCTCCTTCAGAAGTGCAACTGCCTGGCGAAGAAAGCCTAAGTATGATCCTACCTCTTTATTCAGGAAGCTGCATCACATGGCTCCTCTACATTTTCAAAGTTCATGCCTTTAGCTCCAGTAATTTAATCTCATTTACTACACATACATGTGTCTACAGCTAGTATCACGCAACTGTCAAGCATATGCAATGTACGCTTCATGCGATGAAGAATATCCAAGTCACCAAGACATACAAAAGTTCCCTTACCTTTGGGCAGTGACAAGGAAAGTAAGCGTTTCTTCCTGGCCAGACAAGTGGCTTGTATCAAAGATCACACTGAACTCATACTGCGCAAAGAAAAAGTGGTATTTAGAGACACTGCATATTTTTTCAAAACACATTTATTCTGAAACTTCACCTATATTTTACTGGCTTAGCTGTACAAAAGTATTTTCATAGATGTGAAAGAGCTTCCTCTACTGTAGAGTAGCTTTTAATTCTTGGCAATTGGTCTGTGTTCAAATCCCAGAAAGTCCAATTTTTCCTTCATTGTGAAAAGGCCTTTACTAGAATTGCCATTCAAAGACATTATCTGCCATGGGAAGAGTTTTCCACTATAAGGGGATCGCTACCTGAAACTACCTCAGCACCAGTCTATATATTACTTGTTGATGAAGAGACCTTTTGATGGAATAAAGATCATACATACCATTGGCCTGCACAGAGACTTGGAGCTAAGGGCACTAGCTAAAGCAGCATTCAGATCATCCCATCATAAATTATAAAATCAGGTGATAATTTTGAAAAGAAAATCTACATTGACGACCACTGTGGCACTACATTAACTTTTCCATGCAATGTTTCTGTCTAACTCCAAAACAGTTTTTGGCCAAGTGAAACAATTTCCAAATTCATGCTAATTTAAATGGCTTGCTGAAAAAAAAACATGAAGATAAGCCAACTATGTCATTCTGGAGCACAACACTGAAAGTCTTACATTCCAGATAATATTTTGCTACTGTATTTATTTTTTTCATTCTATTTAAAAAATTTTAAGATGTTTCAAAAGAGCATGTTGCAGTCAATAAAACATATGTAACTAAAAAAATCATGTTGGTTCAAAGGATATGTCAATTCGAATGGAAAGGATTAGTTTTTGAAACTGAAATTTTCTGAAAAATTTCAGACTCATTTTGCTCAGGTCATCCTGAATTTATTCTTCATCTTCTCACCTGTCTGGATTGGTCATTTGTACAGCTCAGTTTAGTGACAGAAATAAGCCAGCTGGATTTCTAAACATTATGAGAGAACTCATCTTCTGCTATACTGAACAAAAACCTCTTTAAAAGCTACCAGGAGACCATAATATGAAAAAGTCATTAAGACATTTTCATTGCAATTTGTACAAATTCAGCTGCACTGTGATGTGAGAGAAAACAAAAATAAAACCAGAGTAAGGCAACATAGAGAATCCTCTTCTAATTTTCTGCAGTGGAAATATGCAAGTTTTTTGTAGCTGCAACTCTTACATCATTTTTCAAGAGCACCGCATTGCGGTGCACAGGGTACTGTCATCGGCTCTATCTGGTGGGAAAGAGGACAGCTAACCTCCGTAACTGTGAAAGGCTTGGATATCTAGGTTAGAAAGCTACAGAAAGCATCCGTCACCGACATTTAACACAGCAGTTGCCCTTCCAACTGCTCCCTGGACACAAAGGGGTGAATGGCCCATCACTCTGCAAATGCAAATATCACATTACCCTAGATTTCGATCTCATGAAAGGAAATCCCACGCTGCACTTGAGGAAGTCTGACTCCAGCAACTCACAGGCAATGCCCAGCTCTTCCTGAAAGAAAATAAAAAGGACCATGAGATGAAAGATTTGGGGATAAAAAGAGGATTACTAAGAAATACCATTGTGATGAAGTATCGTAGAAAGCTACACACTTCCCACCATAGCACTGTTACTCCCAGAAAAATAATACTCATTGAATAAGGAAAAGGGTAACTCAGACCATCAGTTGTTCCCTCTGTTTCTCAAGAGAGCTTTCAAACAGTCCAGAACCCAGGTTCTCTGAGGTAATTTTTCCAGGTACCACTATGATAAAGAAAGAATTGTGCTGCCAACAGTGACCAAACCATGTCACACAGAGATGCTGGAGAAAACGTTAATCTGGTCCTGGTGTCATTCACTGCCCTCATCTCTTTCTCTGATTATCTGATCATTATCTGATTATATGATTATTTATCTGATTATTATTATTTATTTATATTTCTGATTTTTTTTAATATTTATTATTTCTCTCTAGATTATCACTGGAGTTACGTTATTGATCTTATGCGGCTACAATATGAATGCTTAAATTTAGATATCCGAATCTGGAAATTAACTCAATTCTAGACATGTATCTGAGAATCTCTTAGCTACAAGATACGTGATTTATTTGACCTGTTTATGGTATCTACAACAGTTTGCGAAAGCCAGCCTCTGTGTCCCTATGCACACTTCCCAAATCACTTAAAATATGAGTTCTGCTTAAACATGCACTTAAAATGAAGCATGCACTTAAAATTAAGCATTTACATGAATACCGTTCTCAGCTAGAACAAGCACATGTGGAAGTAGCTTTCTGAACCATGGACTCAGGCTATAAGCATCTCCAGAAAATGCCTCTCTACCTTTCACATTCTGACCTGAGCACAGCATTAGGGCTCTACAGACGTTACTATTATCCTAATTATGAATCTGACAGCATTCACATTCTTAAACTTTTAACTGATTCCTGTGACATCTGAAAGGCAAGGTCTCCTTTATCTTCAAAATCATGGTTCAAATCAGGGTGCACATTTATAGAAAATTATACCCCTAATGCCACCTTTATCTGACTCAGGCAGTATTTCACTGGTTTCACATGAAAAGAAAATAACATAAGGAGAAAATCCATGCATGCTTAGAGATGCGTGATGGTGTGACCATGACTCCAGTTCTACTCAAATGGCAGAGCAGTGGCCTCCACATTCAGCTTCTTTATGGATTTATTTCCTTGCAATCTTCAGTAGGTCTATTTCTAGAAACATAAAAGATGGCACTGCCCAGCAAATCAAATATCCAGTTTCAGTCATACAAAGCTGCCATCCTCATATGCTGAGGCAGATTTTCTCCTCTATTTAACACAAAATAGCGCAGCAAGTGCTTCACGGTGAAGCATCCCCTCCACTTGCCTTTTCCTCTTGGCAATCCGGGAGGTTCTCCAGTTTTATGTGAGTGATCAAGTGAACAGAAACTCTGAGCAGCTGCATAACCAAACAAAATTTCACAGCTGTTTCCTCTGAGAACCTTCTTGGTTCTGTGTTGTTCAAATGTCTCTTGCTGTGGCAACCTATGAACTCTCTTTCACCAACCCCCAGCCTCTGTTCGTTCAAGAAGGGTTTCTGTTTACATAGCTGTCTGGTGGTGAGAGTGACCAGACAGACCCAAGAGCCTGCCTCCTCTCCTCAAGGCCATATCACTTCAGAGATGTCAAAAAACACGATAACAGAAAGAACTCTCATCTCAATAATGGAAGAAGCTCAATACTTCTTCATTTTGCATGTTGGAGGCTGCCTGTCTTTGCAGCCCTAAGAGCAGGCAGGCAGATGCCCATTGTTCTATAAAGGTCTGTTAAGGAAATGATAATGTTACGTTGGCTAGTTTTAATGCTGCTGCTTGCAACAGCTTAATGGATGCAGTTAAATTGACTTGAACGACCCTCTGGCTTCATTAGCATACCATCCAGTTTAATAGTAATACATTATTAATGCTACAAAGTCGAACTGTTCAATGCTAGGAAACAGCAGAAATAAGTTTGCTGGCACCACCCTGGTTCAGCCTTCTGCACATTCCTCAATCATACAGGTTACCCAGAAAACTTTTCCATGGATCCCTTGTCCTGTTCTGCGATTAGGATGGACAAGCTCAGCTAATGTGTAAACATTTTGTTTTTCCTTCACTGCTCACTGTTCAGCTCACAGGCTTTATTTCCAGCACACTGTTTTGGAGAGAGAAGGAAAATTGTTTCTTCATGGGCTTTCCTACGGTGTTCAGCTCTGTAACATGTGGACACTCCATAAACACTAAATAAATTCATTTTTCATGCTATTACAGCAAGCTGAAGGGTTGGTGCTGTCCTATCTAACAAATAGAGAATAAATAGGGAAACAGTGCAACTCAGGCCTTCCAGAAATTTTAGAAGCCACTTCTCACTGATGTTAGGTAATACTTTTAGGGTGCAATGCTTCTCTATGACAATATAACCCAGCTGAGAACCCAACTCACGGCATGAGTTTCCATAGCATTCTCTAGTTTGCTTAGAAAACATAGCCAAAGGGGTTGGACGTTTCCCATACAACTAGCCAGTGTGAAGCTTTATCTGGAAAACTTTCACAGCATTTCACATTCTTAGGAGAGTCAATCAGATAAACAGAGAGCTAATTAGCAAATAGCTGTGCTATTACTATATAAGAAATGCAGACCTGAGTGTGAGAAACATGTACCTTAGGCTGGCTCACAGTGTTTCTCAACATCTTTTATCGCAGAAATAAAAGTTCCTGATAACTAGAACATGAGCAACGATGCAGTCAAGTTCTAACTCCATTACAAGGAGCACATGGGGAAACAACAACTCAATCTAAATTCTGTAGCATAATGCTGCCAAGCACAACCCCTGGGGCATGTAATTGGGTGTATGAGCAGAGATGTAACAAAATGGCCTTATTTTTGGATGTAAGTGTTAATATTAATGTGTGGTTTCAACTAAGTAATGTAGGAAGCTGGTAATGATCATATTAACATAGTGTATAGAAGCAACAACCTGGCAATGTTATTATTTTCTAAATTTAAGACTTGAGAAATTTCAGCAATGCTCATGTTCTTCCTTAGTTCTTCCCCATCTCTCTGCTGTTTCAGATATTCGCCTCAAGCACCACGCAGTCTTCACTGAGGGACACTAGCTGTCTCCTCCATTGGTGTCTTTGGCCAGAAACTGTCTCAGCAGAAGCAGGCAGGTGCTGAACATGGGAGCTGAGTATATCTGACTACAGGCTGGCAACGCGGGATGTGCCTCGGAGCAGCATCTCCTCATATTCATGTCCCTGATTCATACATTATGTGCAATCAAATCCTTACTGCCCAAAACAACTCAGACACCTAACCAGGAGAAAGTAAAGCAAGTTAACCACACAGATGGGATGCTGGATTATGGGACCATTATCTTACCCCGGAATAACTCAAGACTATATCCTTTTGCTGGCTTCACCTAGCTATCTGGGGATCTAACGTATGGAACTACCCCAGATTTTGCTCTTTTCCTTTCACAGAGATTGTAACTGGACTGCAAGAGAACCACATGGTTTTCAGGCCACGTGAGGTAAGTTATCACTAAGAAAATAGCTTGTCAGCACTAGAACAGGTCATACCAAATAAGTCGTTCACCGCATGTACTTTGGCATTTAAAAAGTCTGTCTTTCCATTATAGTATTTGATGGGCCCAATGTTCTCATGGTACAAAGGTGGGACCAGTGCCAGCTGAAGCACAAAACCAGATTACTTAAGGTATGATCCTGGAAAAGGCCCCTTATTAGAACCAAACCCAGCTGCCGTTTGTCCCCCTTCCTCCTGAAACAAACATTTTTAGAAGATTTCTTAAATATTGTTCACTTTGACCTTGAAGGGTCCTTTTCCAAGTTGGTTAGCTGCCAAATCTAAGACTTAAAAAGAAGGAAAAGAGCAGGCCTTTAGAAAACAGTAAGAGAGAATTGTTGGTGGAAGAAAGGTTTCCTGGCTCTGGATAAAACACAGTCACAGGTCAGAGACTCTGCCTCTGGGAAGACTTTTCATGTTGATATACCAACACAACATATTGCTCCTAATTGAGTTCCCTCTTCTTGAACGCAGATGACCAAAACCAGCCACCATACGTGAAATGGCACAGCCCAAAAAAGGATATTGAAACTTCCTCAGCTTCACCTTTACGAACTGTTTTCTAATCAGATTGCATTTTTTTTTTCCCCCAAGGGAGTCTCGCGTAGTTTGTATGTGATGACTTATTGATCAGCCAATACACCATAACCCTCCTCTGCCTCATTTTTGTCCAGCCAAAACCCTCCAACCTTCCAGAACCTGATCTGGCAGTTCATAGAATCGTATTCTGTTTTTATTTTTCCCACCCTTAGGATCATTCATTTCTTCCCCAATGGCAGAGCAACTCCTCTGAACTGATGTTGGCCCCAACCCAGAGTCATCATCATGCTTCCTCAACTTGCTCCCACCGCTTATCCCCACCCACAATTGATTGCAGGCTCTTTGCCTCAAGCATCTCCTTAAGTAATCTCCCCCAGCCTGTTAACTCCCTTTCAACAATCTCCAGTATCAGGCTTTTATCTATCTGACAATGCTTCTACCAAATTATGACTCTCAGCAAAGCAAACAAATACAAAAGTATAGGTCACTTGTGCTATTTTGCACTCAACCACCGCTGTCACAGAGAAGGTGTGAATTCAACTACCCTAACACTTATTTACAGGCTGTCAGCTGTCTGCTTTTCTAAGCACACAAGCTACTAGTAGATACTAGATCTGAAATGTCAACAGGGAGATGCAACAGAACAATACCCAACTTGCAAAATGATGTGCCAGACATGGCTCTGATTTTTTTTTTTTTTAATAAAATCATACCAGGATAGTCAAGAGAAAGTTACATTAATTTCTGAACTTAGGGTAAATTCTGTACTGCTCTGAACACTCTGTGCAAGAGTTGACCTCACCCTTTTAAATACTCTTCTGATTAGCTGTTGTTTTTTAATGGATTAA